TGAAGCGAGCTGCAGCAGCAGTGATAGCCCTGCGGAACTTACGTTCACCGAGATGGACGTCGGTTGGTGTGGGGAGCGCTGCGAAGGTGTTTTCGGTAAACTCCGCGTAACCTTTCCAATCAGCTTTAGAAAAGTTGATATAGGTCCGGTGTTTGGCGGAGGCAAAGTCGGTTGGTTTATCAATCGAGATGACTATGGGTAGATGGTCTGATGCTAGAGTCAGCATAGGTCGCCACGTTATGCTGTTTATCAGACCAGCGCTGACTATTGTGATGTCTGGCGAGCTACTGCAGTTACCCATAATCCTGGTGGGTGCGTCGTCGTTCATTGTGCAGAATGTCGAATCGTCTATCTGCTCAGCCAAGTCTGTTCCCCTACGATCGTTTGACAGGCTTGAGTGCCAAAGATCGTGGTGCGCATTAAAGTCACCTACTACCATACGGTTTTCACCTCTGAGGAGCGCACCTATATCAGGGTGATATCCTGCCGGGCAGCAGGTGACAGGGGGTATGTATATGTTAAATATTTCGAGCTCGACATCGCCTGACCGGATAGCGATGCCCTGACATTCTAGGGTGGTATCCCTGCGGTCGATGTCTGCTTCGATAAGACGATACTGCACGGTGTGGTGCGTGATGAACGCTAAGCCACCACCATTATCTCGCTCGCGATCTCGACGGTGCACGTTGTACCCGGCGCAATTCAACAAAGTTGAATTGCTGTGCAACTTCGTCTCTTGGACCGCAGCTATTAATATACCATGCCGACACATGAAGACGGTTATCTCCTCAATCTTGCTCTGTAGCCCGTTACAGTTGAATTGGAGGAGCTTCATGTGGTTCGGGAGACGTGTCGTGATGTGGGGTGTGAGTGAGGTGTATGTTCTTGCCGCCGTTGGCTGTGTGTGCTGCTGAGGTGGTTGCCGCCCTGTGGTGGTGGTGGGGGGCGTCGCAATTGACGTCTGCGACCGAGCAGCGCAACACGGGCCCTCGAAATTCCCCGTCCAATCTCGCGTGGTACGCAGACCTGAACATGCCCTAAAGTGGCACCAGCCAAGGCAGGTGTTGCACTTGACTGATGTCACATTACGGAATATTCTGGTCTGACATACCGTGCAGATTGTAGGGGGAACCAGGAGTTGTTGGCGGCGGCGTGTGGGTGGTGGTGCGGTTGTGTGTGTTATGTGGTCTGTGGTGGCTGTGGTACGGTCTGTGGTGTTATTATGTTGTTGTGTTGTGGCGACTGTGTGTGGTTGCTGTGTGAGTGTGTGGGGCTGCACGGGCGGACTATGGTTTGCCGTGGAGGCTGCTCTATTTGAGCAACAGGGGGCCACGTACGACGTGGTCCACTGTCTGTGTGTCCGTAGTCCCGAGCAGACCCTGAGGTGACTCCACCCCTCGCAGGCATTACACTTGACTGAGGTGGAGTTGTGGTGTAATCGTCTTCGGCATACACAGCAGGTGTATATTTCTGGCCCAGGGTTTGACTCGATGCCAGCCCTGAGTAGGAGAATGCGTAGTGAATGTTGCCCTATGGACGGACAACTTCTGAGATACTTCGCCGACCTAAACGGGGTTAGATCGCCGAAACAACAGCCCTTGGTCGGGTGAAACCCGAGTCATTCCGGTACGTAGAACCGGCTGTCGTGGGAATTATACCTGGTAGTATTCTTTAATTCCGGCCAAATATAAACTCGTTTTTTTTTTAATTCAGACCTTACCGTCATAGGTATGCGAAAATTATTTATATTTCTATCTCAATCGCTCATTTTAGTAGGATGGTAAGTTTCCTAATTTAATGTTATGAATTTTAAATGCATGATAGGTAACTAGTTGTTTCATAACTTGGCCAGTTCAACTTATGGGTTCCTTACTAACGTCTTGTTTGCCGCTGAGGCACAGTAGTGGGTTGTAAGCAGGGATGAAAAAGTAGGTACAATTGTACCTTTTTCCGACGTTTGATGACTTAAAGGTACATTAGGTACAGTCACTAGATTTTAGGTACAATCATCTTTTGATCAGATGCATTATTAGTTTTTTTCCTTTACCGTGCTAATATATTTAATTGTAGGTACGGGAGAAGTTTCGCTTTCATTTTGAAGAATAAACAATTCTAGAGAAAAGTGGACAAAAGGAAGACATAAAAAAAACCATATTATGTATTATCTTAAACATTTTACATTGCATTTAGAGCAGGCACTTCGAAAAATTAACACTTTACTTAGCTTCGTAATTTTTTTCTATTAATGTTTACGCTTATTTTCACTAAGTCAAATTCAGTGGCATTTGCGGTCAAATGAGTGAAATGGGACTAAAAACTGGCCTTGGTTTGATTTAGATCAGAATAGGCCTCCATTGTCAAATGGGACTAAAAAATGGTATTTGGTTTGATTTAGATCAGAATAGGCCTTCAGGCGTGTACATGCGCTGCTAAGGCGGCTATTTATAAGTTCTTGGCCCATAATATCATCGATAAAGGTAGGGATAAAGGAAAGAAAGTCAAAAAATTTTGTTGTCAAAATATTACATTGTGAAAACCAGCCTTTATTCATACATACAGCCCAGTGTCTAGGATGTCTTCAAATTTCATATTTTTAGATGAGAACTACAGCTCTTTGACCCATACTCGCTTTTTGATTTCTGGAAATATATTTAAAATGCTTTCGAAGTTACTTTTGGCACATTGATTATATTCTCTAGATTTGCTGCACCTATTAAAAGGAATCGGATAAATTAGCAGACTTCCTGTTGTTTTATAAAAAGCTGGATAAAGAAGTATACTTCACAAAGTGTGTTTTTTGTCTTTTTCGCCAATATTTTTCAGTAGTCAAAATTAGACAAAAACAATGCTTCTCCGATTCCCATTAGACTATAGTCTATAGATATAGGCTCAGTTGAAAACCCTAATCATGTTTAAAGTACATATATCTTTTGTGTTAATGTTCTAAATCAAATTTATAAAAAAAAAACTACAAATGAATGATGTAACTTTTTTTAGGTACAATCTGTCTCATTTAGGTACATTTATTTTGTGATATTAGGTACAATCTGAAATTTCCATTTTTCATCCCTGGTTGTAAGCCAGTAACTACTTTGACAAGTTGTTCCTATAAGCCAAAAACCAAACCAAATTCTACACTTTCTGAAAAATTTGAGCACATTTAATTATTCAGATTTAATCTATGTATGTAGTTTGTAGTGTCATGATTAAATTTTAGAGCTTACCGTTATTTTAATTATTCGTTCGAAGTGGATAATCCTCTTTCATTAATACCATAAAATGTTTGTTAAAACTCGAATCAAATTTCCCACTCGAGTTTATATGTATATGTAGTATTTACATAAGTTTCATTCTAATTTACATATATTTGTATGCAATTGAATTCACTTCACTTGATTTTTATTAAATCAGCAACCACCTCTTAAATTACTTAATTTCACACGTTGCACAGAATCTTTTTTTGTTTTAACTGCAATGAGAACAAATTTCTCATTTAAAATCACCACAGGATAAAAACTTCACTTATCTGATTTCTTCTTTCACAAACGTTCGAACAGTTTATGATAATTTTTTCACGCGCAGCAAATCACATTCGCATCCGTTTCTTAAGAACGATACCAACGAATTAAACAACAACGCCACACTGACTGCGGCAGCCTCAGTGTCGTCGTCAGCGTTTGTTCGCTTGCTTTCTGTTCGTTCTCTGCTGCCTGATTTTAACTTTGCTGTTGCACACATACATACTCCCACCGGGATACGTACGCTCAATGAAAAAACACACCCGCCTTCAGCTCAGTACACTTGTAGTTGTTATTGTTATTGCCGCTGTGACTGCTGCCGCTGCTCCTACCACACATAGCAATTGCACACCGAAAGTGTGAATGCACCACAGACGTGTACAACAAAAATAGCACCTCGACATTCAACCATTTAATATGATTTGATTTCGTTTTTGTCTTTTCTATTTTTATTCTCTTCCTTTTAGGCTATTTCTTCCTCAAATCTGACTGTTCGCTATTGCCAGAGAACCTATTGCTATAGCTGCCCACCGCATCCGCTTGCTGCGAAAACAAAAACATTACACGGTGACGACGTCGCTGCCGGCGTCAGCAACACTGTGGGATTCCATTCGTCTTCCTACGTTTGTTTTTTGGGTTTTCTCTAGAGATGGGCGAGTCCGAGATTTTTAAATGATCGAGAGAATCGCCATCTTTGCAAAATCAAGTCAATAATCGACTCGCTGCCCGACTATACAACCGAGATGTTTTCCGATTGAACAAGCCTGCACTCCCTATAATATCATTTATCTCACAGTATGAGTGAAAATCAAAATATTAATGATTTACTGGACATTTTAGTACTTTTGTGTAAAGCAAAGAGTTTAAAACTGATTTATAAATAGTAAAGTGTTTACAGCAGAATGTCAAAATAGTGCTACAACTGTTCACTTGCAACTTTTTACTAGTTTCGTGTTCAATAACTTTTTCTAATAGTTTTCTCTTATTCTCAATTTTACGCTCTATTTTGCTTTTATACTAGGTTCACATATAAGTAGATTATCCTCATTAACTCCCTAATCTGTAATTAGAAAAAGAGATAAGCCATATAAAATTCGTCCCTTGTTAATATGTAATATGTAATTATAAAATAATCTCAGATTTAACCGATAACTTTTCGGTGTCCATCCTAGTTTTATCGTTTGTTTTTGTGTAGAGGATTGCAAATTTAAAAGTGAACAAAAATGGACGCTAGCAAGGAACAGAGGTTTGTAGAGGTATTTTTAATGAAATGTTACGTTAAAATATATTTATATTGCTTAACATAGCAGAAAAACGTGATCACGGTGGCACAAAGAAACATAACTTTTCCTTTAAGAATGTGAGAATAAGCACAAAAAATTTGACGTAAAACATCTCGGAATCGCCCATCACTAGTTTTCTCTATTTCTCTTTGCTTTTCTTATGTGATTTTTTTTTTCTTTTATTTGCTTTTGCTTATACACTTATGCTTTGCTCCTCTGCGTTCAGACGTAGACAAAATTTGGTCATTTCTATTGACGATCTCAGCACAATTTGCGTGTTCTTTTCAAACACTTGCACAATAATTGATTAGTTTTCCTTTATCTTATATATTTACGACACTTTTATACTATTATTATTAATTTTATTATTTTATAATCAAAGAAAAAGAAGGCAGCGACCTCACTACATAAACGAACAGCATAGAACGAAAATTACTAACTGTAGTTGCCACGCGTCCCAACATGACGTGAAACCAAAGGAGGCGAGCTGACTTAAAGTGTTCTAATTAAGTAATAAGTTATGCCATGTGATACATTTTAAATAAATCTTTCAAATAAAAATTATTTTATGGACGAATTAAGGATAAAGGAATTTAAACAGTCTTTGTATTATGAGCATTTCAAAACATATGGCAGTGCTACGTTACACTGAAAAAAGTGTTGGCTGCCCAATGATTCAATAGCGGTGTTCATACCGAGCTTAGTACTCGATTTTTCTCCAAATATTTGTTCGTGTAAATTATTTTACAGGCCAACCTAAGGCTATCTGCACACTTGTAGTCCAATCTTGGTGGCGGTATCCTCCCGCCCTTAAATTTTAAGCCGAGCACATGCACTTCAATGGAAGTCTGCACACTTGTCGTTACCGCAGAACTCCACAGGCAAACCCCGATGGCCTACCAACAATCATTTTGACGGGCAATATGATTGCAAGTTTTTTGTGTGTGGGCACTTTGATGTCTTGAAATAAGCATTTGCCGCATGACGCCACCAGACAAAATTCTCTCAATTTCGGTGTTTAAAAACATGAAAGTCTTTAAAAAAACTTGCTGAATAATTTCTTAAAACGTAACCATAAATAATCCAATAGGGATTTTGACTTACAGGTCTATTCTGCACGTTACCGAAGATTTTGTAACCGGAAAATTTTATTACCAAAAAATGTTACCAGTTCTTGTCAGCGCGATTCTAGGAACGTTGGTAATGCAGTTAAAATATTCAGCAATTCAGCTATGAAGAATTGAGCAAATTCTGGCATTGCATATTTCACGGGGTAATACTTTGTTACCAGCTTATGAAATGGTAACAAAATTTACCGGTTACAAGAGTACACAGAATGCGAAAAGTGTTTAAAAATTGACAGACACTTTAATTACCGGTTACAAACCTTTTATTACCAGCGCAGAATAGACCTGTGAGGGCCTGTGCTAATCGGTAACTTGTTTCTCCGTGGTGAGACGGGGTGGAAAAATATGCTATGGTGTACAAATAAATTGAATTTTGCTGTGCCAAATGCAGAGTAAAATTTTGACAGTCGAAAAACCAAACAAACGCTCGTGCGAAAGCTTTATTTTTGTGTGATGCTGAAATTCTTAAAATTTATATTTATTTTATAATTTGCAAGTAACGTACGCTTTTTTTATGCTGTTTCAGCTTTCATTTTCATGTTCACTCCTTATTACCTCCAAGCAATATTATGTGTATACATAGGTATAAGCTGTCAAAATTTTACCTAGCCCCATGAGCTAGGTAAAATTTTGACGTTCGTATTCACCACGAGAAGTGTCAAATTTTTACTTTGATCCGTAAAAATTTTCTATTTTCTATCAATTGGCACAGGGCATTAATATCAAAATTTCGCCGATGTTACCACCAGCACGCTTTCTTTCAAATGAAAATATGGCTGTCAAACTTTCAAATTGCTTGCAATAAATGTCAAGCAATAAGCGCTGACGTATATTGCAGCCCATGATAAATAGGCTGTCTCCATTGGAAATATATGTTGTGACATGGTTATCACCATGATGCAATAATACAAGGTGGTATCAGTTGTGACTGCTCTATTTTACACTGCCTTAGCTCAATAGAATAAGTAGAAAAACGGGAAGAAATGAATCCCCATTTGTGGGAAAATTATAAGATTTCATATTTTCTTCTAAACAAAATTAGCTTTTTTATAGTATATTCGCAATAAAATGAAATAAAATCAGATATAATACCTTTTTGAGGAAACAAAATGTGTATACAGAGAAAAAATAAAAAAAATTCAATTATATTATTAGGCAAAGAATTGTTAAAGATGTAACACTGTTTCAGCTAAGGCAGTTAATATGGCGGAATTAGAGCGAGAAGTTGCCAACCGATAACACCTTGTATTATTGCATCATGGGTTATCACGACATAAGTGTTTTCCTGTGGAGACAGGGCTTTATCGGCAAATCGTAGAAGATTCTGAAACGTATAAGTGCGACTCCGTCGTTTGCTAATCGTTATGCGCGCATTGTTGGTTTACATTTTATGGGGAAAAATTAGGAAAAAAGTTAATATTTGCTTTAAAATTATATAAAAATTAGGATTTATTGCATAAAACCTGCGAAAATTATTAAAAAGTGGATAGTTGCAATAAGTGTGTGTGTATCACGATTGAGAGAAGTAGAGATTGCGCCAATCGCGGTACCGCTAATCCGCTCTTTGTGATTTTGACAGAATCAGCTGTGTGCGTGACGTCATCTTGGTACAATTGTTGATTGTGAGCATACGAAAAACCAAATAACAATTTTAACATTTGTGCGTTAATATTTCTGCGTGGTTTTAAACAATTATTGAGACATTACAAAGCAAAATGAAGTGTGCAGTGGCAAAATGTAATCGTGGAAAGAAAAGGAAAGCGTGCGATATATGTTTATTTTTGTTTCCTACGGACGCAAACCTGACGAAAAAGTGGAAGCAGTTCTGCCGGCGAGGAGATGCATTAAACACCAAATCGAGCTTTGTGATATGTGTGTGAGCTATGAGCTTCTGCGTGGAGTTATGTTGACCTTTCCTTGGTGAATTGTAATAGGTATATTTCCATGGTGAATGTAGACAGGTGCTGGTTTAGTTTGCTAGCGATGGCATACATACAAAAGCAGTTTCTACAGTAAAGAGCGAAATACACCACACAAGCGGTTTGACAAACCAAGCGAAATTTCCCTTTGCTTCAAGCCATTTGTGCTGTGTATGGGGGTGTTTGAAGGTTTGACGNAGGAGATGCATTAAACACCAAATCGAGCTTTGTGATATGTGTGTGAGCTATGAGCTTCTGCGTGGAGTTATGTTGACCTTTCCTTGGTGAATTGTAATAGGTATATTTCCATGGTGAATGTAGAC